ACGTGAATTGACAGTTTTTATTCAGTATACATCGTAAATCTGCCATTTCTATTATTTCGTGAAACGTGATTCGTAACCCCCTCCCTTACCCGGCACCCGATGGTACCCGATGGTGCCTTGTTGTGTTGTTTTTTCCCTTTTTCACACATCATATAGTTTAATAATTAAATCAAATGAACTCTCAAGTAACGTAATATCAAAGAAAATAATTTTACCGTTAAAAAAATTTACGGCTAGATGTAGTAGGGCAATCCGCCTTGTTTACTCCGTTTATCTTCCTGAAACATGAAAAATATATTTTTCCAAACATTAGGCTAAGAGAAAACATCATCTGAATCAACAGAGCTGGTGTTTTCGTTTAAGCAGCTTATATCACTATAGACTTCGACAGTATTTTTCCGTTTACGTATGTTGTTTTAAAGACTAGAAAGAGTCTATGAAACATTAAAAAATTGAGAATCAAGCAAGAGCTTCATGATCATACGTTTACTAGGCAGCCTGGGCAAATCAACGCCAACAAAACTCTTTGGGATCAGTGTAAGCAAATCCTTTTGAAGATTAGAATCAAAATGAACGTAACTTCCAATTACTTATGCTTCACTCATAGCCTTAGAAACACAACGGGTACACTTCATCCAAAATCATGGATAACTTCGCAAGAAGTATCAAGAATTGCATTTACAGTTTGTTATTCAATCCTCTTGTTTCTAGCTGTTGTTGGCAATGTTTTTGTTGTCGTGATTGTTTGCAAAAACCGACGAATGCAGACCAATATAAACTTTCTTATAGCAAATATGGCGGTGTCTGACTTAACAGGTTCATTGGTGTCAATACCTCGCTTTATTTCATTGAATATAAACAATTCAAGCGAATGGAGTGTTCCAGGACTATTGGCTGAAATTCTTTGCAAGACATGTCCCTTCATTCGTGACGTATCAATATCTGTTTCCATCGAAAGCATGGTCGTTATCGCAATTGATCGCTTCTTCGCCGTTGTTTACCCCTTAAAATCTAAACCTCGAGTTACGAGACTAAGATGGGTTTTACCTATTATCTGGCTTGTAGCAATGGCACCATTTTCTTTGTACTTTGTTACATTCAAAATAGGATATTGTAAAGGAAAGGCATTTTGCATCTTTAGCTGGCCATCTATCTTTGACCGTGCCCAAGTACATCATATTTATTTCTTAGTTACTATAGTAATACTCTTCTTCATCATTCCATTTGCTATCGTCAGTGTCCTTCACTCTTTTATTGTTTGGAAAATGAAGCATCGTTGCATTCCTGGAGAACAACTTTGTGAACAAGAAACAAGAAGTCAAAAATCGAACAGCAACATCATCAAAATGGCAATAGTTATAGTTTTATCATTCTTTGTTTGCTGGTTTCCCTACCATACTTTAACTTTTTTTGAAGTTTTCGTTTGGAAAGGATACCAGAAAAAGAGTGCACCATCCTTCCATAGCTTCACGAGTGACATTTTGACATTTATTTCCTACATAAGCCTGGCCATAAACCCATTGATTTGTTTCGTGTTCAGTAGTAACTATAGAAATTGCTTGAAGAAGCTGTTTCCGTTTTCTCTCTTCTTATTTAACAAGGCTAGTGCAATAAATGTAAAAACGCAAAGAACAGCTGCAACACATTCGCAAGAAATGACCAATTGTAACAGATAATTATAGTTAGGATCCACTGAAAAGCGTTTAACTCCGAGAGGGAGCATATCACAATACTATGAAAATCAGCCTCCCTATTCAGAGCGTTCATATTTGGTGCATTCCGATTGGTTTACCTCAGCGATTGTACTCATATTCGCACAAACGAAGAAATAAAACAAACAACATTTTCTTTATATTCCACATACCAAACTACTTTCGATCTTGAAATAAAATACCGAGTTCCTCCTCATACAAAAGACAAGATTATTGCCCAAGACTCTATTTAATGCAACAGACAGCTGAATAATTGAGTTTCCATATAAAGAGTGACGAATAACGGGGATGTTAAAGAATATGTATGCCAAGCAATTCTTCAGTCAATTTAGTGCACTTGAAAGTCTTTTTATTTTTACACCCCATCTAAAAAAGCTACGCGAATTATTACTACAATATAAAACGCTAGGCAAATGAAAAAAAAAGAAAAAAAAGAAATCCAAGGAAATAGTTTTTATTTCTATACAAGGTTCACCTTTATTTGACCACCTTTCGCGCCTCAATCAATAGACCATCTTTCATATGAAAATCCCCAGTGCTGAGCGATTTGAATTCGGAATTCATAACTAATATTTAGAAAATGGTAACAGAACTAGACCTCTAGAAATGACTGGTGTTTTATTAGTTTACCTCATATAATTCTGCAGTAAACAGCACGCGTCAGGTACTAAATTCAACACATAGCAATTGCATGATGCAACTTTGAAATTAAAAAAGTGCCTACAGTAAACCAAGGTTTATTTGACTGGTCAGTGAAAGATTCTCCACTAAAGTCAAGCACCGCCTGTATATACATTTAACAAATAGATCAGGCTTATCTATGTTCTGTTCCCTGATAAAACAGGACTGGAGCTGTAGGACACGAAAAAAGTTATAGAAATCATGAGCCGTAGGCGAGTGATTTCTTTAACTTTTTGAGTGTTCTACAGCTTCAGAAGTATTCATATAATAGATTTTTTAAGGTTTGTTTACGAAAAGAGCGCGCGTCTGTCGTCAAATCACGTAAACAAATTTGATCTATGCGATGATTGGCTAAAAACGCGACCTATGGCTATCTGATTGGTCCAGTTTTGACAGGTAATGACATATCTGTACAGGCTGGCATACAACTGATTTATCGCATTTGTTCAACAAGAAAGGAGAATTACTCGTAAATTTTAGCAAAAAAGCCAAAGAAAACCTTACTCATCCACTCTTACTTTGTGCGCTGTTGCTTTCTGCATCTACATTTTCGTTCACAGTCTCAAACTTTTGAGGAATTGTTCCTCTTTCTGGAAACTTAGAACAAATCTTACAATTATTTACAGCTAAGGACAGTTAATCATGGCCAAGGACAGGTAAGGACTGCTAATGGCAGGTAATAACAGGTAATTAAAGGTAATCACAGTTAAGAATTGGGTGATCATAGCGAAGGACATGTTAGTGTACACGCTAGATATGTGGTATATATATATATAGTAGGATGTCGTCTATATGGCATTCAGCCATGAAGTACATACCCATAGAGTAAAGGCATTTAACCCGTGAAATAAATTTTTTTAATCAACGTGTAATAGTCAAATAGACACAAAAGAAAGCAATGCAATTGAAATTAATTGTGAATAATTTACCGTTAGTCAAAATTTCATATATTTTGTACATAATGCAGAGATACCGCTGATCACAAAGGGACACTTCATGRACCCTCACATGAAGGACATATCTTAGTAKGGATACCGCTGACCGGGGGTGAGAGGATCCGCCATTTTGTTTTAGGTTAAGTGATCATGTCGGGACATTTGACAGCATAGTCGTTTCATTTACACGTTTATATCGTTTCTACTTCATTCTACAAGATTATTGTAAGTAATCCTTCCATTTTACCTAGAGTTAGGTTCCATTAATTTGTGATTTCCGTCTTAATACTTTCCATTCTACCTCAGGAAGATTCTTTCATCGTTGTCATTAAAAGTATTTTGGACGATCGAGGAGTGTTTTTTCTTCACATAACGCACGGTGTACAAAGTTGCAGTTAGGCAGTAGTCGTTGCTGAAAGTGGTTTCATCAGATAAACCATATTTGGTCCAGCATATTGCTTTTGCTTAGTATAATTTGAACGTCTATCGTACTCTCTTGCTTTTTTCAAACGACTTTAATTTCGTTAGTGAAAGTTGTGGCCCAGATAAACGCTCCAGAATTGATTCAGCCACGGTTTTCCTTGTTAAATCATGTAGAAAGGAGATAAAGAGCTACAAGAGGTTTTTCCAGTTTTTTGGAGTCGAAACAAATATTTTGTTAATTTTAGTAATCCAACGGGATTTTTCATAGTCCTAATATATATTATAGATAATAATATATATTTGAAACTACTGTGAATCCCGAAAGTAAATCAGCGAGTTTGATTACAGCCGTTCTCAATAACACGCCCCCTCTAACGATTGTTTTTGTCGCGACGAAGTAGATTTTGGTGGACGTCAATCAAAGCGTTTCCATGACGCTCTATAAGCACGTGCCCTTATAGCTTTGTGTTTTCCGACAACGTTATGGAAACGCCTTGTGATTGACGTCCACCAAAACCAAAACCTACTTCGTTGCGACAGAAAAAAATCACAACAGGGCGCGTGTGATTGAGAATGGCTGTAAATTCATTATCAGTTTCACTAAAAGACCGCGTCACACAACTATACATCGTTTATTTGGCTGGTTTTTTCCAACTCTGTTCTCTTTACTTTATCTATTTTCTCTGCAATTTGCTGGCATGAAAGCATTTCGTATTCAAGTCTTTTTTATGATAATACGAGGCACTCTCTTTGCAAATGAGAAGAGAAAAAATATTTAAAAATTGCACTTCGAGAATTTAACCAAACACGCAAAGTTCTTGGTATTTGACAAAGGCCAGCTTGCCTATTCGTAAGACGCCTTTCCGCCAATACGAAGTAAAATATGTAAGCATTTATCATTAGAAGCAAAATCAAGATTGACACAACAAAGAAAAGTATTCATATTGATTACAGCCGAAAGATGACCTTAGTGAATATCTGTCACTATCTGTCGAGGGGCTTAGCCAAATGGACGTCTGAAGCAAGAACAAGCCTGAACAAGCACAACAAACAAATATACATTCTGCGAAACTAAAATATAAATAAGAGTAAAATAAAGAGAAAATACAAGTTAAATATAACTAGACGCCCTTATTGGCGTTTACTCGGGCTACCTATGTCGAAAACAAAGAAGGTGAGAAAGTAGTAGAAGTGTGAAAGTAAAGGAGTGCAATCGGAGAGGATGTGTTTATGTTGGTCAACCCCGATAAAATGAGAGGGTCTCGCGGGAACCGTTGTTGCCAGGCGGTTTGCTTGGTAAAAAAGATAAAAGAATATTGAGCATTTTGTAGGGCTAATGCTTTGGCATTTTCGCTTCCTGATCCAAATGCTTTACGATTGATAGCAGATGGTAGTGGTATCTTACTTGCGGACAGCTACTGTCTTCGATATTGCAGGCTCTGTACGAATCCCACCTATGCCCTACCCCCACGGGTAACTTGAAAGTTTTTTAACTCGTAAGGTGGATACACTGGTTACTTTTTCAAACATATCAAATTCCCCATCGTATAACACTATGAGATAAAAGTCGGTGGTCCGGCATTTATGATGAAAAATGCAACAAATGCAAGAATTGGACAGCCATGCTAAAAATCCAGTATTGCCTTTTGTATTATTTGTTTTCTTCTGTAGTCCTAATTTGCTTGTAGCAGATGTGCAGCACAATTTGCCTTGTTTTTGTAAATTATTTTTAACACTTATATCTGCATCATATATCTGAAG